CAAGTGGCCGTTAAGGCCCTTTTCTAGCCTCTTCCTCTTAGTTTTGGTCCTCCCTATGCCCAAGGTGCAGTCCGTAATTTCTCGGACTGCAATAATGGTCTTCCCATGTCCATGGAAGCCTCCTTTTACTACTACATTTCTCCCACAATGGTCCCTTCTACTCCGATTTTCTCCCGGAGGGCTATTTTTCACATGGGATCTGATTCGACTCTATTTTCTTGAGGGAGGCTGATCCGAGAATTTTCGGATTGCTCCCATGCCTCCCACTTCAGTTTTCTTTACTTTTCCTTTTCCTTTTAACCTTTCCGTTTGTGACCACTAGTACTTGCACTAGTGGTGTTAATATTCTTGGCAGTCAAGATGTCGATCTTGACGGTGCACCTTGCATTTATTATTTTTTCCTCATGCGGTGCCGCCGTTTCTTCTTGGGACTTTCACATGTCCCCGCCACTTGTCCCGTTGGTGGTCCCCGACACTTAGTCCCGTCGGTGGTCCCCGACACTTAGTCCCGCCGGTGGTTCCGGACACTTAGTCCCGTCGGCGGTCCCCGACACATTTCGTCCTGGACGTCATTATTTTTACTTAGTCCCACGTGGCCCCGGGTGCCTTTCCCCGAGGTGTTCCATGCCCCTTGGGCGTCTTGTCGCCCCATAGCGACCCCTCTCTTTAGTCTTTCCTCGCGCCTTGTGCGTAAAGATGTTTTTGGTCGTGGGCCTCCGCTCCGAGGCTCCCGTAGGTGGCCTCCATGTTGGACCCTCATTTCCTATCTTCCTGTGGCCTCTGGGCCGCCCATCTCTTGGCTTCCTCATTCCCTTATTGCTGTCGCGCTGCAATTGCTAGTTCAAAGGGCCCTTTGGTTTTAGTCTTATTGCATTCCGATAGCTCTCCCGGCCTCCTGCTATGTTCTATGTGCCTCTGTTCTTGCGCTCGCTTGCTTGCCGTCGCTAGTTCTTTCCTCCGGTGATTCTTCCCTCAAGGCATCACCCCCTTCTGCGGCCTAATCCTTTGTTTTTTTTCTCTCCTGCTTCCTCACTCCAGATTTCTCTGTTGTGCACAAATTGTCCGTATTCAATCTCTCGAGTGATGGGAAGTTATTCGAGACCCACCAGTCCCGACACCGTCCACCATGATGGGTGGAGGGCGCTCGTATGGTCGTTCGGCGAAAGGCTCAGACGGTCTGCGGTAAGGACGCAGTAACGAGACATGGTAGACATCGTGCACACGAGCCTGACGTAGGTAGTCGGGCAGCTTCACACGGAAGCTGACCGTGCTAGATGCCGTATTAGAACCGACGGCTTGGAGGATGCGGCATGGGCCAAAGAAGCGACGCCGAAACTTGCGAAGCGTGTCCTCTTCGAGTTGTAAGTGGCAGGCGTCGATAAGCACATCATCACCGACTTTGAATGGATGATCCATCCTCGATCGGTTCGCACGTGCTGCCATGCGACTCTGGGAAGCGGCTATGTGCTCATGTGCGGTCTTCATGATGGACGTCATGTGTGCAACCCAATCATCCAGTGCAGGACAACTCGTGTCGGGGTGTATCTGTGACGGTCGAAGGAAGTCCGCGGGAACACGAGGGTGATAGCCGAGGTCGCAATAGTAAGGCGACATCCCCGTGGCTGGCGAGACGGCGTGGTTGTAGGCTATCTCCGCATGGGTAAGATGGAGATCCCAGTGCTGGTCGTCACGAACAATCTTTTGGAGAATATCTCCGAGAGTCCTGTTCGTGATCTCGGTCTGACCATCAGTCTGAGGATGGTAAGACGAGGTGAAGCGGAGCTGGGTGCCGTAGACCTTGTGGAGCCGTCGCCAGAATCGGCTAGTAAAGCACGGGTCATTGTCAGATATGATGCTCAGAGGTAAGCCGTGGTCACGCACGACTCGGTCAAACACGATGTCGGCGACTTCACGTGCACTGATGGCATAGCGGCACGGAACAAAGCATGCACGCTTCGTAAAGCGGTCGACGACAACCAAGATAGCATCATGACCGCGGGGGGTCGAAGGGCGAAGAGGACCGATAAAGTCCATCGAGATGGACTGCCAACGACCCTTAGGGATAGGAAGATGCTGGAGCAAACCATAAGGAAGGTCGTTCGCACTGTTCACCTCCTGACAGGTAGGACACTCTGCAACGCAGTCCTTCACAAAGTCCTTGCGCTTCGGCCAGACGTACAGGCGGCTCACACGAGCCAACATCTTGTGGAAGTCCATATGACCGACGACTGCCTGGTCATGGAACTCTGCTACTGCTCGGACACGTAGCTATCCAGTGGAGGGAATGCAAATACGGGACTCTCTGGTACCCTGTGAACCGTGCCAGTACACAAAACCGTTGTCCCCGAGAAAGTAGTTCGGGACGGTCTTGCCACTCTGAAGGGTCGCGTGAATGTCGCGATAGTCGGGGCAGTGGCGGTACTGAGTGCGAAACTCGTCGATCACCGAGTGATGGACGGTGGTGACCGAGATGGAAGAAAGTTGAATCTGCTCCTAGTCGTGGTCAGGGCGTCGGGATAAGGCATATGCAACTCGATTGGTCTCACCCTTGATGTGCTCAGTGGTGAAACTAAACTCGGATAGGTCGCTCCACCAGCGAGCCTGTCGAGGAGTGAGCTTCGGTTTTGTTAGAAAAACCTGGATAACAGAGTTGTCCGTACGCACCGTGAACGGTGTCCCGTGCAGGTAGTGACGCCAATGCCGAGCGGCATAAACTACAGCGAGAACCTCACGTTCATCAGCGGTGTAGTTTATGTCGGCGAGCAAAAGCTGACGGGAGTAGAAGGCTATCAGACAATCACCTGAGCGAGACTCGATAGTGCCGTCCTCGACGATGGTAGGAGAATAGTAAATAGAAGGTTTGTCAGTAGCTGGACGAGTAGGCGTCAGTCGGGAAGCAGTGGTAGGGGTAGGTGGTGGGAAGCGAGGGATGCGAGGATGAGAGGAATCAGGAGAGGAGGGGAAGATCAGAGAAAGCACTGCTCCTATAACAAAGTCCGACGCATCGGTGGTAGGGATAAAAGGGCGATCAAAATCGGGGAGGTGAAGAACCGGTGCGCATGTCACCGCCTTCTTGAGGGCGCGGAAGGCGTCCTAGTGGAGGGGTATCCAAGCCCAGGGTGGGTTCTTCCGGAGGAGGGTGGAGGTAAGGACGTAGGAATACCTAGCGTATCCCTGGATGAAATTACTATAGTAGCTGGTAAGGCCTAGGAAGCTACGAAGCTGCTTGGCGGATGTGGGGACGGGCCACTCCGCAATAGCAGTGATCTTCGCGTCGTCCATGTGGAAACCCTGGTCAGACACGTAGTGTCCTAAGAAATCCAGTTTGTGCTGAGCAAAGCGGCACTTGCTCAACTTGGCGTAGAAGCCATGTCTGTGCAAGCGGTCAAGGACGTCGCGGAGGTGTCTGAGGTGCTCCTCAAGGGTACGACTGTAAACCAGGATATCGTCGCGGTAGACGAGAACGTATTGCTCCAGGATGTCCCTGAAGATGCCGTTCATCGCCCTCTGAAAGGTAGAGGGTGCGTTGGTGAGGCCAAACGACATCACCGTGAACTCGTAGTGGCCGAGGCGCGATCGGAACGTTGTCTTCGGCTGGTCGGCTACAGCGACGTGGATCTGATGATAACCGCTACGAAGATCAATCTCCGTAAAGAAGTGGTTGTCTGCTAGGCGGTCGAACGCCTCGTCGGAACGAGGCATGGGATAGTTGTTCTTAATCGTGTAGCGGTTGAGGCCCCGATAGTCGATGCAGAGATGGAGAGTTCCATCCGCTTTGCGAGCAAAGAGGACGGGTGTACCCCACAGAGAGTTGCTGGGTTTAATGAAACCCAGTCTCAGGAGCTCCTCAAGTTGATGCTTGAGTTTGGTGGCCTCGGGGATCGAGAGTCGATAGGGTGCCTGGTGGTGAACACGATAGTCAGGCACAAGCTGGATGGAGTGCTCGACGTCGCGCATCGGTGGGATGCCGACGTACGAGAACGACGGTGGAAAAACGTCGAGGTACTCTCGAATGAGGTCACGAACTACGGGCTCCAGGTCAGCCGAATATCTTGCGAGTTCCTCAGCGTCAGTGTCAGCGCGCGACGGCGGGGTAGACTCGACGGACGGCGGAGGGACGAAAGTAGAGATGGGAGCCATGGAGATAGAAGGAGCATCTGGCTCCAGGGGGATGAGCTCGGCGTCGGGACAGGGTGGATCATAGTGTAAGAGATTCGTCACGTTCACCATGAAGAAGGTGACGTCGTCCTGTCGGATGAAGTGGGCGAACTACCGAGGCGAGGTGACAGTGATAGAAGGAGATGGTGTGGGCACGGAAGGCTCCGGGGGAGGAGGATCGGGTCGTGGTGTCGCAGTGGTACCTATGAAAGGTACGCGATACGTCTGTCCACACTTCGTTTTGAGAACGAGAGTGTTGGTCGCCCAATCGGCCTCAGTGTTGCGAAATCGACGAGACCACGGAGTGCCGAGAATGAAGTCGTACCCCGTCTCCATCACATCGAAATATGCAGAGGAGCGGTGGCGACAAGACACCGGGGGACGATCAATCGGCTCGAGAGTGAGGAAGAAACGGTGACCTTCTGATCGAAGAAGCGCTGGGTCTTGTCATCCCGTAGGGTGACAGAGATGGGAGTCGGAGACCCTGTCATGGGTAAGCGGGTTTCTTTCACCACGCATGGGTGAATGAAGTTGCCCTAAGAACCGGAATCCCACAGTGCTTAGTACCCCCTCGTGGAGGTCCCCAGTCGTACTGGAATGATCGGGAGGGTGCGATTAGGGTCAGAGAGGATGGTGAGGCGGCGGCGCAGGGCAGCGACATGGAGGGTGAGTCGCTCCTGATGAGCCTGGAGCATGCTCAAGTCCAGAAGAGAGGACACAACGTTCTCACGAGTAGCGAGTTGCTCGCTGCACCGGGCAGAGCGAATGGCTCGACGTGTCGGTAGTCGCGGCGGGGTAGGAGGGGAGAAGGTGGTCTGCGGAGGCGCAGACGGTACTACGACAGAGGGCTGAGTACACTCTGTCAGGTCCTGCGAGACCTCAACTCCAGTAGCGAGAGGGGCAAACCGCGACGGGGATGTCGGAAAACCGACTACTGAGGAGGGCGCAGGCGTACACTGCACCGTGGCTAGGAGGCGCCGCGGGGATGCGAGGCGCCGGGGGGGGACTGAGCACGACGCTGGAGGGAAAGGTCAGCGTAGTGGCGGTCGAGGGCGGTGGTATAAGGGCACCGCGAGGAGGTATGAACGTCCTGGCGGCATCGCAAACACCCACGCCGGCCCAAAATAGTCGCGTGCTCCTCAGCAGAAAGGACACCGCGAGGAGGGACAAAGCCCTGAGGGAGGTCCTGCTGAGGGACCTCGGGGGGCGACGTGCCAGCGTGACCGGGGCGGCTGCGTGCCCGGGAGAGGGCGGAGAGGATGAGCTGGAGGCGCTCGACCATAGGGAGAGTAGAGTCCTCCAGGTGGTGGTTGACGGCCTCGCCGAGGTCGAGGTCGTCGCTATGGTCACCCTTTGGCGACAGCGGGGCACCGACGTCCTGCTCACCATACTCGAGCGAGCTGAAGGGGCGCGAGAAGTGGCGGCCCTGCTGCGCGGAACGGCGGGGGCGACCGCGGAAAGGGGAACGGCGCTAGGAAGTGCCGTGAGAGGAGGAGGAGGCGTAGCTCGTGCGCTGAGGCTGGAAGGAGGAGGCGGGGTGAAGACGGGCCCGCATCCGCTGATGGTCCCTGGCGGCCTCGTAAGCATGCGAGGCCGATGTGAACTCGTACTGTCATAACTCGGAGCGGTACTCAAGCAGAAGGCTGGCCAAGAAACGATTGATAAGAGCAGCTTTGGGGAGGAACGCCACGTCACAAATGAGGCGGGCGTCCTGAAAGACCTGAATGTGTCGATCCAGGCTGGCAGCGCCACCAGAGCCAGACCAGCGTGTAGTGACGACACTCTCGAAGGCGTTAGTCACGTCATATCGGGCTCCAAGGAACGCCTGGAAATCTATGAAGGTCGGAGTCCGACCCACATGAAGGGAGTAAGTGTAGAAATCTTCTCAGGCGTCATAAGGACCGCCACGCAGGCGCGTGGAGAGATGACTCACCCACGTGTCGGGTGTGGCGCCCATGAGCTGAAGTGTGCGGGTGGCAAACTGCAGCCACCGAGATACGCGTATCCCTGTACCGTCGTACAAGGGAATGTCCGCCAAGCGGACGAGTGGTGCGCCACCGTTTTGGCGGCGAGGGGATCGAGGAGCAGAGGCCTGTGCCACGACTGAGTAAGTTGGCGCAAGTCCTGGAGAAAGGGGCGCAACTAACTCTGCGCCCGGGCCGCATGGGGGAGCGGCGGGGGCAACAGCGGTAGGCTGCGAGGGAGCTGCGGTAGAAGAGGTCGCAGCAACCGAGGGAACAGGAAGAAGGTAGGATGGGGCTGGATATGGTGTAGGACCAGGAAAGCGAGCCTGCATGGAAGGAAGGATAGAGGAAGGAGGAGGTGGGCCCGAAGGCACGACCACCTGTGAGGGTGGGGTTAGCTGAAGGCGTAAGAGGGCGCGGTAGGCCCGGATCTGGGCAAGCTCGTCCTCGAGCCGTTGGACGTGGATCGAGCGAGGAGTGGCAGGAGGAAGAGTGGAGGAAGTGGATGCACAAGCGGCGCGGGGCATCCCAGAGGGGGGAGAGCCAGGTGGCGCTGCGGTCGTGCGAAGGGGGGGGAGAAGCGGGGCACCCGAAAAAGCTGAGACCATGGTAGCGGGTCGTGGTCCCGTGGCCATAGTGACCGGAATCTGGGCGGGTGCGCCCGTAGACTGAGGGAGGGCCTGACTCGTGGCGGCCGTCGTGCTAGGGGCGTGGACAGTCAACAAGATGGTCGGGTCGAGGGCAGCGGAGGAGGAAGCTCCGCTGAGGCCACCCTGTTCGAGGATGGGGGACCCGGACTGGGAGCCAGAAGATGAAGGACACGCAGCGTCCTGGAGTTACTACATACCGGCTGCAAGGGTCGCCACATGCGCTTGTAAGGGCGCGAGGACTGCGAGTTGTGCCTGGATGGGCGCGAGGAGGGAAGTGAGGAGGGTGTGTAGATCCCCCCGGGGCTGCTGGCCCTGGTCCGCCAGCATGGGTGTGGAGCACGGTGTCGTGGTCGTCGCAGCGTCGGCGGCGTGTGACACACCGTCGGCCATGAGGAGGTGACGGGCCGAACTGGAGGGGGCCAAAGGAGGTACGCGTGAGCGAAGGGCGTAGGAGGGGATCCATGGTAGAAGGCGGTGGACGGCTCTAGCAAGGCTGGCGCGGGCGCCGTCAAAGGGGGAGGGGTGGTTCAGGTCTAGGGTGCCCGAATAGGAAGGGGAAGTAAAGGGGGGGGTTGAAGAACCCTAAACCCTAGAAAAACCCTAAGAAAACCCTAACCGGAGTTTGAGTGGTTAGGGTAGGGTACCGGTGACCTAATCAAGAAAATAAAATAGCAAGCATAGGGGGGGAAGGCGGGAGAAAAATAAGTAAGCAGCGAGATTTCAAAAGAAAAACAAAAGAAAATAAATAATAAAAATAATTAAGGTAAGAAGTAAACAAAATGTGAAAAGAAAAATAATATTTATTTTTTAAAAAATTTCGGCAGCATTTTCTTTCCCCCCATGGGGTCAAGAATGTGCCAAGGGGAAAGGAGAGACCAAAATAAGCACACTAGGTTTCAAACTGCCGCAAATAAATTTTTTCATAAAATAAATAAATAAATAATAAATAAATAGATAAATAAAGAAATAAGTAAATAAGTGGATGAGAAGGTGAAGAGAAATGAAGTATATGAGTTTTCAAAAATTTTGGCAGCACTTTGTTACCCCCACGGGGTCAAAACGTGTGCCGAAAGCAAGAAAGACTAACACCTAATCAGATTTAGGGTTGCCGTAAAGAAAATCGAATTTTCAAATTAAAAAATAATAATAATAATAATAAATTAGAAAATTAAAAAAGAAGATGGGGAAGAAGATAATTCGAATTTTTGGAAAAAGAGAAAAGATAAATCAAAAGAGAGATAAAAGAAGAAAAACAGAAAAAAAAAAAAAAAATTGATGTAAGGGGGAAGGGAATGAAAAAGTGAAGGAGAAAGAAAGAAATAGGTGGGAAAGAGAAAAAGATGGAAGTGGAAGGTGGGGGGATGATGTGGTGGTTGTTGGGGGAGAGGAGGGTAGGGGAAAGGTGGAAGGGGATCAAGAAGCAAGGAGAAAAGAAGGAGGAAAAAAAAGAAAAAAAATTAAGAAAAGAAAGTAAAAGAGTGGGTGGTGGGAGAAAGGTGGGGTGGGGAAGGTAAAAGGAGGAGAGAAAAGAGGCAGTAGAAGGTGGAGGAAAGAGAAGGGGTGAGTAAGAGGAGAGAGGAGAGGTAGGGAGAGTGGGTTAGTAGAGGGAGAGGGGAGAAGGGAGTGATACCTGGCCCTTGGTGTCTCCAAGGGCACAAGGTATACCAAGACCAGGAGGGTCTTGGCCTTCGCTGCAGTAAGCCAGCTAGAGGAGAGAGGGGGCTGAGATCTTGATCAACCCCCAGTAGCAGTTCTGCAGATCTGCAGATCCAGGGTCTGCTGTGTGAGCAGACCCTCACCACTGTAGAGCAACCCCCTAAGCAGGGGGGTCTTCAGTTCCACCACAAGTTGCCATGTGGCAGTAGAGATGGCCACGCGCACAGCCATCAGCAGCCGACCGCGGGGGGGGCGGGCAAATAGCAGCCCGGCCGTTGCTGCTCGTTGCTCGCCGGCGGGGGGGGGGGRGGGGAGGTAAATACCCAGCACGGCACCTCTTCAACAGAGTGTGCCGTACTACAGAACCATGTATACACTATGGCGAGTGTGTTATTAGGGTGCTTCTGCACGCACATGGCCCAGTAGGCGCCTAGGTTCAAGCCCCCGCGACAACAAAAATCCTCGATCTTGATAATGTAAATCCGGGAGCGGGGTGGGGCAGCGGGCAGCGGGGCGCACACGCTCGTGGTGGCGCTTGCTTTTTTCGCCACGTGTCACCTTCTGCACGCGCCTGCTTTTTTCGCCACGTGTCACCTTTTGCAC